TCAGTGCGTGGAGCGGCTTGGCTCTCGGAGCCGCCGGGCGGGAGGCGTTGGTGGCGTTCGCTGCCGGGTGTAAGACAGTCCTGGCTGTCCAGGGCAGGGCCTCGATCCGACAGTTTCTGTGGTCATGGGTTAGGTCAAGGCCCTGCCACACCGAAAATTCGTAGGAGGCCACGGACCGTTTGGGGCGTGCTTTTTTTGTTTTCTTTTGCTTTCTGGATTCTTCTTCCGTACCGTGGGCCTGTCTGCTGCCCTCGTCCCTCCGACCACATGACAGTTCCCCTTGCTCTCAAGCTCGCTGGGAGGCAGGATAGGAGCCAGGGACGAGGGGAGTTGGAGTCCCGGTTCTGGAAGCAGGCCTTAAGCTAGACAGAAAACAGCTTCAATCTTGTGGTGGTCGTTTTGGTTTTTGTTTGTTTCTAATGGAGTTGTCCATTTGGAGTTAAGGGTTTTTGTGTAGTCCTTGCACAGCTCTAGTGGCCTTGAGGTTAGCTGACTTGTTGGAGGAAATCTCCTGCTAGCGGTTTGGACCTTTCCTGTCCAGTTGTGTCCAGGTGGACCATGGCACCTCTAAGCACCTTCATTTTCTCCGCTCTGTCTGCGCTCACATACACACTGAGCCCTGAGTTCTGTCCTCACTTGCCTTTTAGCTGACAATGTAGCAGTCGAATAATAATACCTCCTAAGACAACCACCCCTCTATTCTCATTCCAGGGGATAAGAACTGCAGCTGTTTGTCAGTCTGATAAAAACCATAATTCTTTTGAGTCAATATCTTCAATTACAGAAAAAAATAAATAGAACTTGACATTGATTAGGTCCTGAAAAAGACCAACTGCCAATTTCCCAGTAAATTAAAAAGGCATTGCTTCTGTTCTCACAGAGCATTAAACATCTTCAAATAAATACAGTGCAGGGAGACGATAAAGGTTCAGAATTTTGTAGTAGTTATATTTTAAGTCAAAATTTTAGACGTTTGAAAATTAAAATTTGAAACACCTCTTTTTAAAAAAAGATTATTCTAGATGGTTTTCAGAGTCAACAAATAACTTAATTCAATGAACCATCTAAAATTCTTCACAACTATAAAATATAAATCCTAGGTAGAATTTTGATAGTTTCAGTCTTAAAGTAATTGGATTTAGGACCAGATGATTGCATGGTGATTAGGGCAGCTGAACTCCACACAGCTGACTACATGGTTTGAGTCCCAAACCTGACAGCCTGAAAAACTTGCTGGGTGTCTGTGCCTACATGCCTACAATCTTGAGAGACAAATAGAGAAGAAGGGATTGCGATGTGGCCATCCTTGCTGGAAGGTGCTTGCATGCTTTCTCTGTGAGAGAGAGACCAACTGCCAATTTCCCAGTAAGTTAAAAAGGCAGAGATGGGACCAGCAGTTGGCACAATGGCTATGTCGCTGGACTTCCATGTAATCGACCGAGGTTTGAGTCCTGGACCCGATGACTTAAAGTCACGGTGGCTTAAAGTCATGCGGGACATGTGTGCGTGCGTGCCCAAGATCCCGAGAAGAGAATGGAGGAGAAGGGATTTTGGCATGGCCATCCCCCTGAGGAGGGGTGATTTCTCGCTTTCTGTCTCTCTGTCTCTGTTTTTCTGGCGAGCGCACATGCCCCATAGCAAAAACCTCTAAGAAAAAAGGCAGAGGTAGCATTGCTTCTGTTCTCTCAGAGCAGTAAACATCTTCAAATAAATACATTGCAGGGAGAGGGCAAGTGCACATGCCTAGAGCCATTTTTTTAAAAAAAGAATTGGATTTATAATATTCTTCACAAATCCAGATGCTGAGCTCTCTGTATGAATTAATAAATCATTAAACATCTAATTCCTTTGATAGCTTACCTTTGGCCTTGTGACTGGTATTGTGGAAAATTAATTACAAGCTGTCAAATGTTCAGGCACAGTAGGTGGCATAGTGGTTGAGGTACTGGACTCTCACATGGCCAACTATGGTTGGAGGCCCAGACCTGGTGGCTTGAGACTCATGCATGCATGCCCAAGAGAATGGAGAAGAGACTGCAGTGTGACCATCCCCCCTGGGGGATGATTTCTCACTTTCCCTCTCACTGTCTCTGTCTTTAGCAAGCACACCCTATGGCAAAAACCTTTAAAAAAAAATGTCAAACTTTCGGCTGTTTAGGTTGTCAAAGTATGATACTAGTGAGAAAAAGAGCAGTAAAACCTGCCAAAGATGAAAATTGGTTACTATTTTTTTCATGTTGATGTGTTTCACATTTAATATAGATAGCCACATTTTCTACCACATGCATATAAAGTCATGTATGTTGCCCAGACTTGCCTAAAACCCAAGACTCTCCTGCCTCAACCTCCCAAGTTGCTGGCTAGCTTTTCTTCCCAGTCTTTGAATATAAAAAAGAAGAAGGGGCAGCATGAGCGAGCTGTGTGTATGTGGATGTGGAGGGCACGCTGCGAGCTGTGTGTATGTGGATGTGGAGGGGACGCTGTGAGCGGGAGTTTGGCGTCAGCCCTTGGACTTTCT